ATTATCAAAGACAGATTATCATTATTATTTTATTTTGTTATCTAAAATAAAGTGCCACATTTGCATTCCTGCACCAATAAATGGATGACCATAAAAGACCTACTATGCCACTTTTTATAAGCTGTAAAATATCTGATGTCCTTAAAGTGAGTATGTGAAGTTTCAGCCCAAATTAACCCCACAAATAATTGTTTATATTCTTTTTGAAACTGCCACTTTTAATCCAGAGTTACAGTTGAAAAGTGGGGGTGGGGGGTTTGTTTGTGGTTGGTGCAAAGGGGGAGGGGGTAACAATTTTTAGGGGGCTTGAGTAGAACTTTGGGTCTAGCTAAACCCATGATGTCAATTATAATATAAATCAGTGAAACCATCATGTCAATCTTGCTAAAATAGGGTATATGCCGAGCTAGTGTTGTTCCCATACTGATAAACGTCCAGTGACCTGTTATTGTGAGTTTTTTTTTTCCATTTTACACAGTCCCTTTTACAGCATCAATGTTGTAATGTCATTAAAACACAATGAGTTATACTTTGGCATTCATTTAGGCACATTCATGGGCCTGTCAGAATCGGCAGGCTAGAGCAGAATCTCCATATATACAGGGCTAAAATAAATTATTATATTAAATATACTATATTACTTATATTATTATTAAAATATTATAAAGACATGGCGGAGAAAAATGTAGTTTAATGCAGTGCTTCTTGTACAATCTGAGACCCACTTTATATTGGACATCCCTCAGCCCCAGTGGAGGTAGTTGATTTTTAAAGAAAACTGACTTTAAACGCACTGATTTTGCAATGGTATTCAGTTCACCGGAAGCTCTTAACACAAGCTTTTGGCAAATTAAAAGTCCTATTAGCATACTTCCACATATACCTCACAGGCTTAGCAATGCCCATGAACTTTAAATTAGCCCATCAAATTGTTTCTGTGGACTGTTTTATAAAGTGTGACTGTAAAAATAGGTTTAATTGTTTTGTTTTTCCATTAGAGGCTGGCTATATTTACAGAACTGCCACAGAACTGTAATAAAACTCCTTTCAAAAGTGATTTTTGCATTATAGGTCCCCTTTACAATACAAAATACACAACTAATTTTACATTACTTTTAGGCTATATGTAGATATAGACACCTATTTTACAAGAAAAGTATCTTGCTAACGATTCCTCTGTCTATCGGTGCTCTAGATCTGTCGGCTTTACAACCCTGACTAAGTATTTTCCTGCATTGACTCAAAGACTATAGAATACACAGGACATGTCACTTGTATAGTTTTGAATGGGGAAAAGTGTAACAGTCAATATGGCGAATGAAGCCCCGCCTTCTAGTACGTGTGTTTTCATGACAGTTTGGTCAAAAAACTCACTGGAATCTCAGTGAATACTTGCTTCACAAATAAAAGAAATATATCCACATAAAGCTTGAAATCTGTTTGTTTAAATCAGGGGTCACCAATCTCTGTCCTGGAGGGCCGGTGTCCCTGCAGGGTTTAGCTGCAACTTGCCTTAACACACCTGCCTGGATGTTTCAAGTATACCAAGTAAGACCTTAATTAGCTTGTTCAGGTGTGTTTGATTAGGGTTGGAGCTAAAATGTGCAGGACACCGGCCCTCCAGGAACAAGTTTGGTGACCACTGGTTTAAATGAACCAAGTGCACTTGAAAACAAATGTGTTTTTTGGTTTTGTAATCTGTATGAAATGAACGCAAGGTACAGTCTGTCCTGTCAAACGCACATCACATGACAGCAACTACTTAAACGCCCACAAGCTTGAAAACAAAAAGTCGCTGTTATTTCTGAAGGACATTCGCCATCAAGACCAAGTTGGGAATTACTTTAGAAGAGCAGCGCAATCTGACAATCATTATTCAGAGGATGACAATGTGCAGAACAACCATAAATGAGATTGGCGTCATGATCTCATTGCTTTTAAGCACCCATGCTTGGGCAACCTTACAATATGCTGATTTTGTTTGATTTGGATGTTTAGAAACTAAACTTAAAGGACAGTTAATGTTTAATTTTATTGGTGGATCCAAATATGTAATGTAATCGTAAGCGTTTTGGAGAATTTGATGTTTCCCCATTCTGACAGGATGCCTGAACATACTGCCCGAGAGGCAATTCAAAGATGGCCACAGAGTGAAATAACTTGCCTTAAAGGGATTTGATTGACTGTAAGATACAATCAGGCATTCACAATGGTAAATGAATCATTACTTGTGATAATGTCATATGTAACTTTTATTAACTATTATTTTAATGATTAATATTAATATTTAAGATACAGATCAGAGGAAATGATTTCTCAGTAATTAAATGGACATCAAGCATTAAATAGGGGGGAGGGAGTCAATCTATTGGCCAAATAAAATTCTAACTGCCATCAGTTCGGTCCAGATGATGTTTGCTGAAGTGTTGGAAGATTAATTTGGTTGTTTTATCCAAAGTGGTTCACTAATCAACATAGTAGAATAGCACAGATCTTTCATTTACTGTTTAATAGTATTTTTAATATCCACTTGCCCCAATTTTCACTATAAATCTTCTGTACAAACTTTCAGATGAGACATCTTCCCAGCATGATGTCTTTTGATTCAGCGATTCTCCTGACTCATCAATTCATCTTGTTGAAAAGACTGAGTTCAATCAATAACCCCAGAGAGAAATGCAGTTCGACTTCCAAACTGGTTAAAATGAATCATTATTATAAAGCTACTCTTGAATCAGACATGACTGGATAAAATTGCAGCAAATGATCACTTCAATGATCAATTTAGTTCATCATCTGAAAATGTCCAATTTGTATCGTCTGCTCAGAGATGTAGTTCAGTTGAGAATGAAAATGTCAGGAGTCATAATTTAAGAATTGAAAAAAAAAAAAAAGGTTGGCGATGACTTTGCATCTACCACTATCAACTATTACCAATTTGAACATTATCTGCTATTACTATATGATCCCACACATTTAGCAAACTTAATCCAACACTTTTTGTTTGCATTTGTATTGACTCAAAGACAAGCACTGGTCATTGTAAGTCTGCTATATCTTCTATAAATGTTCACTTTTTAAATGGCATATTTGTAAATAATTGTTAAACTATTCCCGGACACATTACTTACACATTGCAAAGTTACATCTTCAATCTTCATAACACAAGTCTAGATATAGTGAGTATTTAACAACATTTAAAACAATAAAAATAATTCCAACTATAAAAAATAAAATAAAATAATAAAAAAATAAATAATATACAATGTACTAGAAAATCTGACATTGTGATACTTTGTTTTGCTGTGATATTATATCTATTGCTATATGAATATAATTTTACTAGATGATTTGAATAGCTTTATTTGAAAAGATTTCATTAATTTAGATTGATCAGGATGATCAAGTCTATACAGGCCATCTGCATAAACTATAATAAATTACAAGCAAATATAAATACGACAGATCAAAAATAAAACTTAAATTAACAGTGCTTTATGGTTTTCTAGGGAGTCTAACAGTAGCAAATGCAAAATAACATGGTCATCATGGTAAAAATATGTGTTTTTTTATTTAATAATATCTTTATCTTTTAATCTTTCATAAGTAATCTAATCATGCGATGTAAAAATTGCAGATACACACATTGCAATATTGATGCTCAAACAATATAATGTTCAGCCCTACAACATGCATACACAGACGTACATATATCACTCTATATTTGTAATTCTTTAAATTTTATAATATACATTTATTTCAGTCATTTCATAAGTAAAGGGTAGTATAACGTGGTTAAATAAAAAAAAATGCAAAAGCATTATTTTTAATTGAAACAAAATAAATGTTGAGTGTAAAAAATTATAAAAATGTATTTAAACATATTTACACATGAAGAGTTCACATGCAAATGCCTTTAAATGTCATCTAAACCTTTCTTTTAAAATAAGCATTTTTTTCAGGCTCTTGTGGGTAGGTTCAATAAATTAAATTTATGTTGATGAACAGGGTATTTTCATTATTTGTAAAGTGAAATAATTTAACATAAACATAGGAGGTTGAGAAAAAACGCTCGTTTTTGAAGAACATTTCAAATGGCATTTAGAGGTTTTTGCATCTGAACTCTTTACATATTTAGAAAAAAATAAACGTAATTACTTCAACTTATTCTTGTTTTAAAAAAATACACTTTTAAAAAACATTTTACAAACATAAATAAACACAAAACTTTTTATCAAAAACTGAAAACATACAGTAAATGGTGAAAATGTTAGCCATCTTATGAATTTTTTATTTATTTTTTTTATATTTCCTAAGTGCTGTTTAATGGAGCAAGAACATTTTCAAGAAAGTCTTATTTTTTATAGTTTGGCTGGAATAAAAAACTGTTTTGATAATAATAATAATAATAATAATAATAATAATAATAATAATAATAATAATAATAATAATAATAATAATAATAATACATTTTTTAGCGTCAATATTATATAAATACCCTGCCCAAATAACTTGTTTAAATAACTAATTTAATCAGTTAAGCTATTACATTGTACATTATTCGGAATACTAACTTGTAAAATAACTAAAATACTGTCATTATGTCAAAGACAAAAGATATTAGTCATTTAAAAAAATGTCCTTAGAATATTATGCTGAAAAATGTGTTTGAAAATAATTATATATTCTCTCCATTGAATATCTCTTTGGATATGTTTATAAAACTTTTAAAATTTGACATAAGGGCTAATAATTTTGACTTTAAACAAAATATAAAAACTACAATAGCAACTCGACGATACTAAAATAAGGAAAACAATTAATTTAATATGCTTTTATTTCTATTATAAAATCATTTCATATTTATTTCAATTTAAATATTTTTTTTCTTATGATTTCAGTTTTAGTTATACTACAATAATATCTCTCCATCAAGATAATAAGTAAACTCTTCCATTCCGAGTATGAAAAAACAGAAAACTGTGGGTGTCTACACTTACTTTAGGGTGGTCATCTCAGTGAGCGATGGCTGTGTGGCTTTGAGGTAACTTGCCCGTCGCGCCTGCATCTTTGGCGAGGGTTTGGGGCTGCCGTCTGAGTCTCCACTGTCGTCTTCCGCCATTGCCTTGACGTAGCTGCCACTGCGCATGCGTCTGCATGGGATGTCCTCATCTTTGCCCAGCGGAAAACCACCCCACTCATCCTGAGGGACCTGACGGTTGAGAAGCGACGCCACGTCACAAACCTTTGCCCAAACATGCATGTCAGCATCCAAACACACGCTCAGCTCCACAAACACACACTTCCAGAGCTAATTAATGAGGCTGCCGGTGTGAGCTGCTGTGATTATACTAATGACGCCTCCCTGGATAGTGGAGCATCTGTCTTAGTGCAGCTCTTCCCGGGCCAAAAAAAAAAAAAAGTACAATTCTGGACTGTGTTTTTACAATTCAGTCCGACACAAAGGAAAGCCACTTAGTTTTCTGAGGGTAATCGGAAGCTAAATAAAACCTTGACAAATGCTCATTAAGACTCCATTAGATAAAAGGATGGCTGCTTTAATTAAATATTAAACATGCTTTGTGTTAAACCACTACTTGTAAAATGTCTCTGAATTGTGGCAGAGCTCTTTTAAAGTTGGCCAAGGGTTGAAAAAGTAAAACATTTTTAAATTGCTAATTTGTTAGGGCAGCTTATGCACTATTTGCAATATATGTAGTTGGTTCATAATAGATTGTATTTTTTTTGCACACAGACAGAGGCTCAGTTTTCATTTTGTCAAAGATCAATCAATCAATCAATCAATCAATCAATCAATCAATCAATCAATCAATCAATCAATCAATCAATCAATCAATCAATCAATCAATCAATCAATCAATCAATCAATCAATCAATCAACCAACCAACTAACCAACCAATCAATCAAACTATCGTAAAAAAACTTACAATCCCATCTTAAACCTAAATCAAAACTTCAACTAGCATAAAATAAAAATAAATAAAAATAAATAAATAAATAAAATAATAAAATAAAATGAAATAAAATAAAATAAAATAAAATAAAATAAAATAAAATAAAATAAAATAAAATAAAATAAAATAAAATAAAATAAAATAAAATAAAATAAAATAAAATAAAATTAACAGCAACAATCTAAAGAGCAACTGGAAACACCTAGAACTTTTTGACAGCATGTTCTGAGCCAAATTTGGTGGATTATGACTAATGATTTATGGAGAGTTCAAAACACGTTTTCTAACTAATTCAAGATGGTGGACAGGAATTTGTGTCAATTAGGGAATACATTATATCATCTCTTTATGATCCAGGGAATCTGCAAGACCAGTCTTATGGCAATTGACAAACTATGAATAGGTCATTTGATAACATTTGTATGATTTTTATTGATAGTATCAAACTGTTTGTCAGTTTTGCCCAATGGCGGTGATGCAAACTGATGTAGTCTGCTCAATGTCAGGTCTAGATCACACACATAAAGTTTGGTTTCAATACTTCAAACCATAGCAGAGATTCAGCCTGTAATGTCATCTGGCAGTATTACATCAAGTTTGCGTAGATGCTAAATGACAACAGTTTTGTCTTTTGACATGAATTCCATAATTTTTGGTCTGAAGATGATCTGAGTCAAATTTGATGAAGATTGGACCAACGGTCTAGGAGGAGTTAAAAAAAGAATGGTTTGAACAAAATCAAAATGGCAGACAGGAGGTTTGGCAGAGTTTGGCATAATTGGTATCTGTTTTATTGGCATGACCCAAGGAATAATTTAAGACCAATTTCATCAAAATAAGCAAAATAAGCAGTCAAAAGTTATTACCAAGTTTGTAAGATTCATTAATAACGACTAATAGCCGTCTTATAATTGTTGTCCCATAGGTGGCGCTGTCACCAAACTTTTGTGGTGTGGTCAGTGCAAGGCGACAATGACAAATCTAAAATTTGGTATCATTATCTTTAACAATTGCAGAGATACAGCTTTAGATTTAGTTTGGCATTATGCCAGCACATTTGTCGGTGCTGTAAACGAAAACCGTTACACCTATCGACACAAATTCCATAACTGCAAAACTGATCTGAGTCAAATTTGGTGCAAATCAGACAAAAAAAAAATGTAAGAGGAGTTAGAAAAAGTAGGTTTTAACCTATTCTTAGGATAACCCAACTAATGTATCAAGACAAGTTTCATAACAATAGGCAAAAGTAGTCACAAGTTATCAGCATTTTTAGAAATATCGTTATTACATTTACTAGTGAAGGGAGGGGGAGGGGGTGCAGTGATCCGAAATGCTGCAGATAACCCCAGACCATGGTTGTCGTAACACACACTAAGTTTGCTGTGAATACATCATTGCGTAATGGAGATAACAAGTAAATTTTTTTTGTTAATTGTTTGCAAGTTAATTGAAAACAGTTTGTCTAATCAACTTGAATTCAATAATTTTTGGTCAGCATCGTCTGTAAATCATGTGATTAAATTTTGGTGAAAATCAGACAAACAGCCTAGGATGAGTTCGTTTAAATAGGTTTTGCAAAAAATTTGAAATAGCGGAAAAATGTTCATGTAAAATGACGTTATCATCAAATGACGTTTGAATCGGCTTGAGTCAAGGAATCAGAGGAAATTTTGATTATAGCCCATTCGCTTCAAAAGTTATACAGATAAACAAAAAACAAAACAAAACAAAAAACAACACAAACAAATAAAAAAAAAACTAAAAAAAAAACTAAAGATTCCTTTACTACATTATGCCTTTGGATTTATAGGATAACTTTTTTGGCTTCAATTTAGTTGTTTTATTTGATTTTTGACCAAAAAGCTTGCTTGAAGTCACTGTCAACTTACATAAGATACTTGCTAAACACTAGTTGCATGATGACACTGGAAACAACTAATAATTCAACTGCATAGCCAATTCTAGATTCACATATCAATTATACATGGTGTCAGTGCTTAATTTGTAAATTGCGAGGTCCCAGAATAAAGTGGGGTGACGAATCTGGCGTGTGATTAGAGAAGGGAGAGGTAATGGAGCATTAACACAGTCACTTGGGTTGGCCAACTTGAATAAATAATAACTTCCATCAGTATCTTTGTAAGTGAGCATGCACTCAAAAATAATGAGTGATTTTATTTCTACTCTAAAATTGTTTTGTGTGTATGTGTATGTGTGGGTCTTTTTTTTAGGAAGGTTTCATTATTTATGAAAGCCTGCTCCTGGGACAGGACAGGCACAACAACAGGGGTTGTAATGACTTGGTATTTTGTACATAGAGCTGAGCAGTTGTTTGTAAAGTTCTTTTGTATTTCTCTGTGACACCAACCACTTGCATTTAAGGGGGCTGTTCACATGTTGCATCTTTTATATACTCATTTCGGTATTTCAAACATAGACGTGTAACAAAGTAAGTTCAAAAATAAGGAAATTCAAAGCATAATCTTTATCTTACACAAAAAATGTTTGATGTTATTGTTATTTACATTTATTTCATTTTTTATTATTATTTACAGCGGCTCCCCTTAATTTGAACATCATTTGTGTGCAGGAATAAAATATCGGTTAATCCGTGTTGGAATGTGAGCAATGAAAATGACTATAAACTAATTCTAAGGCCAAAAGTCTCTCAAGCTGACAGAGAGCACACCCGGCATGCGTTGCTCTACATAGAGGCTCATTTAAAGGCTTGAAAACAGACTTTCTCCTGGCATGGAGAGAAAATCCCACTTTGAAGAATGTGACTGTGATAATATGAATGAGCACAGAGCTTGTGTTACTGAGGGAACGGCTGGCCTTGACGTCAGGAAGAGTATAAAAGGCAGTCAGAGGAAGAATGAGTGCAGTAACACTGCATCTTTGCCCACACACTCGCTCATAGAGCCGGCAAGCACAAAAAACTGGCTTCAAACACACAGGCAACACCCACACCAGACCTTCAGCCAAGTCCAGTCTGATGAGCAGAAAACGAGGATCAGTGCTGGGTTCAGTTCTCACAGCAGATCCAGCAACGCTTCATCATTTCAGCAGATGAAAGGTTGTGAGCTTCCAGAGATTAGGGTTAATGTCTTTAGGAGATCTCTGTTCTCTGACTGCTGTCATCTGTTCTGTTCTGTTCTGGAATTTAGGGCTGCATACAGATTTAAGTTCGCAGTGAAAGCTGTGATCTAATTACATAATCGAATTTCCTGCAAGTTTCATTCAATATTTGTCTAAACACTATCTTGTGTTATACATTAAATACACAGAGAGTACGGAAAGTTTTCAGACCCCCTTGAATTTTACTCTTTGTTATATTGCAGCCATTTGCTAAAATCATTTTTATTATTCAATCATCAAGTTAATTTTTTTCCTCATTAATGTACACACAGCAACCCTGATTGGCAACCCCCTGCACCAGTTGGGACTTTATGACAAAGTGGCATAACATGAAAGCCTGCATGGACTTTCCAAGACACCATCCAAGATGGTGAGAAATAAGATTCTCTGGTCTGATGAGACCAAGATAGAACTTCTTGGCCTTAATTCTAAGTGGTAAATGTGAAGAAAATCAGGCACTGCTTATCACCTATCCAATACAGTCCTAACAATGAAGCATGACAGTGGCAGCATCATGCTGTGGGGTGTTTTTCAGCTGCAGGGACAGAACTGGTTGAAATAGAGGGAAAAATGAATGCGGCCAAGTAAAAGGATATCCTTAACGAAAACCTTCTCCAGAGTGCTCAGGACCTCAGACTGGGCTACATGATTACCTTGCAACAAGACAATGACCGTAAGCACACAATTAAAGTAACGAAGGAGTGGCTTCACAACAACTCTGTTACTGTTCTTTAATGGCCCAGCTAGAGCCCTGATCTAAAACTAATTAAGCTATCTCAGGATAGACCTTAAAATGACTGTCCACCAACGTTTACCATCCAACCTGACAGAACTGGAGAGGATTAGCCAGGGGGAATGGCAGTGGATCCCCAAATACAGGTGTAAAAAACTTGTTGCATCTTTCCCAAAGAAACTCATGGCTGTATTAGATCAAAAGGAAGCTTCCACTAAATACTAAGGGTCTGAATACTTAGAACCATGTGATATTTAAGTTTTTCTTTTTTAATAAATTTGCAAAAATGTCAAAGTCTGTGCTTTTGTCAACATGGGGTGCTGTGTGTACATTAATGAGGATTTTTAAAATCATTTTAGCAAATGGCTATAATATACTGTAACAAAGAGTGAAACACTTAAGGGGGCCGAATACGTTCCGTACTTACTGTGTGTGTGTGTGTGTGTGTGTGTGTGTGTATTAGTGTTCTTTTACTGCTAGAAACTCAAAAGCTAAAAATCTACTCTTGCTCTTAGCTTAAGGTTTACCAAATATGGGCTTCCTTTTGAATGCTGAAAAATGACTGACAAAGTATTCTTACCAGCAGGCTTAAGAGACAATCTGTAGAGGGAAATTACAAAAAATTAAGCCATTATAGAACATAATTTGAGAATTTTAAAAGCAATACTGACAAGACAAACTAATCAGCTAATGTGAATACAAGCCAACCTTGTGGTCACTGTGTTATGAACCTGCTTAAATTTCTCTCAATACCAAGTACAAGAACAACAGAACTATTTATTTTATTTTTATACTATCTGTATAAAGTCCACAAAACCAACAGGATAATGCTAACTTGACATCCACTTGCTGAAAGTATAAAGAGTCTTTTGCACAAAGCTTGAGAACAAGAACATCGCAGTGCAATGGCCTGTCAGTCACGGTTACGATGGCAACTGGCGGCCAGATTTAGCCCAGAAGAAAGATGCCAATTATTCTTTGTATTGACAGAGCATGATAGAGAACATGTGAGACATCCTGCCAGCTCGATTTAGCCTCTGAATTAGTATGTGGCTGCCCACGTGCAAACTCTGATTCACAGTCCGCTGCTGGTGGCCCTTAAGATCTTTTCTAGTTTGCTCTTTTAAAGCACGCGTAACATAACGGGTTATACCTCATTTGTCAGTTCACCCAGAACATAGTCTTATGTGCAAGAGGAACAGGAACACCTTCAAATAATATCTGATACAGTTCCCTCATCCTATAACTATCTCTGACACAAAGATTATTATTGTTCTTAAAAACATATACATACTTTAGGAGGATGTATGGATTATCTAGAAACAAACATTCCTTATTTCTGTACCGTATTTATTCCTTTTAAATGTCTTTCACAAATTTCATGTAATATGAAAAGTTCATGCGGTTTTTCCTCATGGGTATATAACAATGCAAACTGAATTTAATTGCAGACGATGAGCAGCCACTGACATGAGCTCTTGGAGTTTCAATGAAAAGTTCATAAATGATCATGACGATGACGGTCGCTGGTTCGAGCCTCGGCTCAGTTGGCGTTTCTGTGTGGAGTTTGCATGTTCTCTCTGCGTTCGCGTGGGTTTCCTCCGGGTGCTCCGGTTTCCCCCACAGTCCAAAGACATGCAGTACAGGTGAATTGGGTAGGCTAAATTGTGCGTAGTGTATGAGTGTGTGTGTGAATGTGTGTGTGCATGTTTTCTAGAGATGGGTTGCGGCTGGAAGGGCATCCGCTGCGTAAAAACTTGCTGGATAACTTGGTGGTTCATTCCGCTGTGGTGACCCCGGATTAATAAATGGACTAAGAAAATGAATGAATGATCATGACCTTTCAAAATATGGTCAATCAGGTATTTTCACCCTACTGGGTAAATTATAAGGTTCTAAAGGGATTGTAAAACAAACTTTCTGGAGAATTTTACATTTCATAAGCCATACTATATATCAGATAAGCTTTCTTTTTATAAAAATTTAGATTCTAGGCCAGTCTGAAAACCCATTTGTGAATGGAAATGGAACCATCTTCTTTAATTTAACATATGTTACACAGTAGGCTATGTTAGAAGGTTAATTGACTAACAGCATGCTTAGCAATGATTTAATTGGTAACCAGTTAATTAAAAGCAACCAACTAGCAGTTAATCAAGAGGAAATCAGTCTTAATTTTCTATAATCTACTTAGACCACCCTGTTTTTTATGTAACTAGTATAAAGCTAGAAGCAGTATTAGAAACCATCAAAACAAAATAAATAAATAAATAAATAAATAAATAAATAAATAAATAAATTAATTAACTTAAATATAATAAAAAAATATATTTTAAAATTAACCTAGCTATTTGCTCATCCTTTTTAGTCACATGACAGGCTGTGCAATAGGGAATATAATTGACCAGGCACCAAAGTTCAGTGCATTTGATTATTCAATTTCTGTACCTGAATACTGAGAGACTCCCCAGAAAAACCTAAAGCACTGTTCATTTGAGAATTACTTTCGTTCTATTGTATTTACCTTCACCCTACAAAATTACTCCAATCAGTCTAATACAGAATTCCTTCCAAATTAAGATATTCAAGGAATCTGGTAAATCCTTTTTATATATCATAAACTATATAGCATAAAACTTTTTAAAGTCCTAATGAGTAGCTAGAAATATTAAGCATATTATGCAAGCATTTTCTTCATACAGTACATATCCATAAGAACACTGCTCATTAAGTCTGCTTTATCCAATCCCACCACCTACACACACACGCACGCACGCATGCACGCACGCACACACACACACACACACACACACACACACAGCCCAACAAAATAATAACATTCTTGGTCAAAAAAAGTGGTTTGTCAGGTTTAAAGAGGGAAATAATACCAGTCAGAGAGATCAAATGGATCCAAACAGATGCTTGTCAGCTAAACAGAAAGTAAGGCAGCTAGTGGGTTGCACTTACTTCTCGGAAGAACTCAAATCAAAACTGGAGGCTCTCTCCAGAGGTGGAGGAGGAGGAAGAGGAGGGTGGTGGAAAGGTGGAGGTGGGTTAAGGTGAGCATGTGGGTGTAGGGGAGAATCGAAAGGCTTTTTGCATACCTGCAAGAATTGGCATGATCGCTCCTGCTGACAAGCCTCTGCTTTCACTAGAGCCTTATCTACATTTACCGAGGCCTTCTGGTAGACTTGACGTGCTCTGCTCACCGTGAGAGAGGACGACCACGAGCTCTTCTTCACGAGCTGTGAAGCGTCCACGCTCAGCGGGATGCTTGTGCACGTCGAGCACTTGCCCAAATCGTTGTTGCTGCGGGAGTTTTTAAGCGCCTGATCATTGATGGTGTTGTATGCCTCCAGGAAGTACTGGGACTGGGACTTGTCCGGGTGACGGCCCATGGTCATGACACCCGGTGGTCCATGGTGGAACAGGCAGGCCTCACGCTCCAATTCATCCGAACTCCAGTAGCCAGAAGGCGGTGTCCGATTCTTGGGCTCCGCCGACTTGCAGCGTTCCCGGCTCTTGCTGCGCTTGCGGTGCCGAATTGCAGGAGGTTCTCCATCGGGGCTGGCCTTTCCTCCATTGATGCTGCCCTTGCCATGGCCGTGACCATGGTGTGGGCCCTCTAGTGAATGGGACTTGGTGAAGAGCTTCTGAACTGAGTGCACCAGGTGCCGGATTCGGCCAGGACTGTCGCTTCGTTGCTCCAAGGCTGCAGCCGCACGCTTGTACTGCAGTGTGTGATAGCCGTCCCGAGGCACTGGGAGTTGCCGGTCGAACTGATCCAAAAGGGCAACAGGGAGCCGCTGTTGGCCCTTGCTGGCTGGAACACCTCCGCCAGAGTAGGGAACCACAGCCATCTCATCTTTCAGCTCATGCTGGGAGCTGTAGTGTCGGCGAGGGAAGGTCCCATAAGGCACCACGCAGTCAGGCTGGTAGGGGCTTCTCTGGGAGTAGTACGAATGGTCCACCGGGTGGGGGTTGTCGATCTGGCTGATGAGGTAGGGTTTGTGGTCCAAGTGGTGACCCATGGACTCAAAAGAGGGGTCACACGTCACCACGTGGTGGTGGCTGCGGCTGCCGGATAAGCCTTTCATCACAGAGATGGAATCATCCAGCAAGGGAGTGGAGGCATCCACACGTGGTACGGCTCCAAAGTGACCTGATGGTCTGCAGGAAATACATAGAAAGACACAAGTAAGCATGAGTATACTGTGTCACTGTTTTCATGTGTCTTGCTTTCTATGAGTCAATTACAGTTTAAATTAATTTTAAAATAAAATTAAAAATAAATATTGAAATAAAAGGACTTTATTGTGTCTTCTATTGTGATGAACATTTTGTGAGGTGGGTATAAAGCAAAAATGTCAGTACAAATGAAGAGTTTAGATGCAAAAACCTCTAAACACTGTTTGATATTTTCTTCTAAAATTTGCATTTTTCTCAGACTCTTGTGTGTAGGCTCATAAGTTTTACTTTTATAGTGACGAATAAGTTCTTGTCATTGCCTTTAAAGTGAAATACTTAACATAAGACAACATAAGATACTGAGAATCATTTTAAGAACAAAATTCAGATTCAAATTCAGGCATTTAGAGGTTTTTGCATCGGAACTCTTCATATGCTCTCATATCACAGTTATGCAAGTGTCACTAATAGGGGTAAACAAATCCAGATTTCAAACTAAATTATTGTATATAACATATATAGGTTTTTAAATGACAATTTGTCAAAATACAAAACAAGGGAGAGTTGTGGCCTAAAGGTCAGGCAATCGCAATTACTGAAGATGAGGGGGGTAAATGAACCACTTTCTCTTCATACCCAACTAAGGTGCCCTTGGGCAAGGCAATGTGTGTGTGTGTGTGTGTGTGTGTGTGTGTGTGTGTGTGTGTGTGTGTGTGTGTGCGTGTGTGTGTGTGTGTGTGTGTGTGTGTGTGTACTCAGATGGGTTAAAAGCCATGGACCAGTATTGAGTAAGGGTAATCATACATGTCAATAATCACTTCATTTGACTTTGTTTTTACAACCAAAGGAAATACAACATGATTGCTAAAGCATATACATTCATTCATTTATTTTCACATACACATACACATACACTACGGACAATTTAGCTTTCCCAATTCACCTGTACATTTCTTTGGACTGTGGGGGAAACCGGAGCACCCGAAGGAAACCCATGCGATCGCAGGGAAAACATGCAAACTCCACACAGAAATGCCAACTGGACAGCCGCGGCTCAATCCAGTGACCTTCTTACTGTGAGGCGACAGCACTACCTACAGCGCCACTGCATTGCCAAAGCATTTACATGTTTTAGGTTTTTTTGTATTACTCTTAACTCTGTGACCCCTTTATCAGTAACAAACAGCTCAAAAGCAGATCTTGTTCATCGAAAGTGGAATCTCAACCACTTAGCTCAAGACAATATGCACCCTAACCTAACCAAGCAGAGCTGATCCGATCAAATACCCTGTTAGCTGAATGAACATCTGTGTCTGACATTAGCCAGTAACAGTCAGGCTTTCAAAATGCCTTTTTTGTCTGACAGTACTTGAAAAGATTATTCAAGGCTGAGAAGTCTTGACATACTTTTCTGTTCTTCTCAGAGGGAGGGGAAGAAAGCTGAAATTCAGATGACAGACAGACAATGTAAAAGGGAAAGTAGTGTTGAGAATCTCAACGAAGTTGCCCTCCAGCATATTCAAGAGGAACTATGGCTACAGAGTTGACTTACAATTATTATTATTATAGGTTGCCAGTTTGATTCCTATATAGAGAATGTTCATACAGTACATACTGTACATGCTACAGATCAATCACTGCTCTCAACTGACAAACACTTCTTACTTGTTTTTTAAATGTTGTATTGCTAATGGGGGCAACCCGGTGGCTCAGTGGTTAGCACTGTCACCTCACAGCAAAAAGGTTGCTGGTTTCTGGCTGGACCAGATGGCATTTCAGTGTGGAGTTTGCATTTTCTCCCCGTCTACGCCTGGGTTGCTCCGATTTGCCCTACAGTCCAAAGACCATTCCATAGGTGAATTGAATAAACTAACTTGGCCGTAGTGTATGTGTGTAAATGTGAGAGTGTAAAGGTCTTTCCCAGACAGTACTGGGTTGCAGCTGGAAGGGCATCCGCTGTGTAAAACATATGCTGGATAAGTTGGGGGTTCATTCTACTGTGGAGATCCCTGATTAATAAATGGACTATTAACTAAATGAATAATGTCAAAACAAGTCCTTTTTTATTTTTAGAATTTAAATTAAAAAATTTATATGAATATGAAAATAATAATTGATACACAGATTCTGTTGTAGCTTTAATCTATGTGTTTATATTGTTATTTGACAGATTAATTTGATAGCTTATTAAATTACCAATCATTTTCTCTGGTAAGCTATTTCTTTTCTGGATACTTACAGTTAAACCTACCTGTTTGCTTTTAAATCTGATTGCATATTTGCACTTTATGTTAGTATAAACCTTTAATGGACAACTGTGGAGTTTCACTGTTACTTACGTTTTGGCAAAACATCTTAATTTAGTAAAACAAAAATTATTAATGGAATTGTATATGAAGATGTCCAAATACAATCACTAATTCAAAGTACCTAACTAAGACTTTATGTCTTTATATTGTTCAAACCATTTGCAGATTCAATTTTTTTTTATTATATGTAATAATATAAAAATACATATAAAATTTGGAAACATTTTGGCAACCGTAATAATTAGCACAAATAGTGCAGTATTTACATTTTGTTGATTCTTGTTAAGTGGTCTTAACTAATATGTATGTACTAATTAGTAATTTGGTATTTGTTGTGTAAATTCATGTTTTACACTGTACTTATGCTTGATCTGTAATTACATCTGTAATTAATTTCTGTAAGTACATTTATATTTACACCATTGACACCCCCCCTCCACCTTTAAACCTACCCATACTACCTAATCCTACCTCTGCAATACCCTTATTCTAAGTGTTCTGCAATACCATCACCTTGGAATTATAAGGTTTTATCTGCGTTCTGAATGATTTTGAAATATTGAGCTTCAAGGTTTTTGCATTCCATATAGCAAACAGTATGTGTGTAACATTTGTTTTTTAGATAATGTCTTAAAATGTAAACAACTTACAAAAAAGATCTCATAATGTAAATAAGTTGTAATTTAATAAGATTATGTCAATAACTCAATTTTGACAAAAATGTCAGATAAAACCTTTTAATTCTAAGGTGATTGCACATTCTAAACTAATTGCATAAATTAGATTAATATTTTGATGCAAGCACACAGTAGTTAACGGCACATAAAAAAGTGGAACCAATTTTTCTTTTATGCCAAAAATAATTATGATATTATGAAAGGATCATGTTTAAGATAGTAAATTGCCTACTTAAGTTATGTCAAAGCAAACATTTTCAAATAGTTGGATTTGAGCAGACATAGCCACAAACTAACAAAGTCAATGTAAGCTTTATTTATTCAGCTTTCAAATAATGCCTAACTCTCAATTTCCTGGTTTCGTGGTTGCCTATTATTAAAATTAAGTTGTAGTTGTTGTATCAGATAACAGTGTGAATTTGGTCTGATTCAACGCATGGCTGTGCTTCCTTAGGTCAACACAAATACTAATCATTACTCTTAGGTTTAAGAAAATCTCATTTTCTCCTGTACACACTGCTGTCTTTGCTGATGTGTTCAGATGTCAGGCTTTTATCAAGACTTCTCTGAAAGCTTGCACCCTCAAACTCCACTCACTTTGCAAAAATCATGAATTTCCCCACTTTTCACTCAGAATACATACATTACAAGCAACAACTATTAAGGGTAAACCCATTTGTTGGGTATGCAATGTGACTGAATTACTCCTTAACAAATTTGTCATTCCAAGTTTTGTAAAAGAAAAACTCTGGGCTTTCTGTGAGGCATGCAGCCAGATCTGGCAAACTGCAGATGGTGAGCATATCCTCATTCAGCCACACTAATTGCATGACGCTCGATATGAAAAAGAACACTTGTTCGGAGAAAGAGAGAGAGTGAGAGAGAGATAGATAGAGAGAGATAGAGTAAGAGAGAGAAAGAGAGAGAGAGGTAAATAGAGAGAGAGAGAGGGAGAGAGAGATTCAACCCTGTTATTAGAGAGGTTATTATTGGGCCTTGTGACAGTCTAATGGGAGGGGGGCTGCTGCAGCTTGCAGAACTGAAACACCTACAAGCCACACACTCACATCACACACACCACACACATACACACATCACACACCACACACACACACACACACACACACACACACACACACACACACACACACACACACCACACATCACACACACACATCACACACACACACACACACACACACACACACACACACACACACACACACACACACACACACACACGTACAAACAGGAAAAGAGAAGCTCATTTACAGCGAATCTTTACACAGCCAATAGCAGTTACTAAATCACAGATCACCGGGGTTCACAGTGGCAGTGTGAATGTGCATCACAATGTCCAGCATGTCAGTGTCATCCGGTCTGTTCATAACAAGAGGAAGATACACAGCATGGGCAATGATCTCGACATAACTTCATTATAATAATAATAATAATTATATCGTCTGTTATGGCCATCAAGGCTGCATTTATTTCAGCAAAAATACAGCACAAACTGTCCAATTGTATAATTATTTTTCTGTTTAAATGAACTGATTTCTATTTTTTTAGCACTATAGAATTATATGGACAATCATTCTGACCATTTTTACATTTTGTACATTAATAATTTAGTTAAAATGATATATAGCTACAGCACCCATATAACTATTGTACCCTGGCTTTTCCTAAATGTTTCTGTATATTTCTTTCTAATTTTATTATTTAATTAAAATTATAGAGTTCTGAGTACTGATGAATGGCTATTGATCGCTTGCATTCCATTACTTTTCCCCATGCCTTTGTATATGGCTAACTTTCTGATAGCAAAAACATAGCTTTACTTCAGGCATGTCTTAAAAACGAAACACTTTACAATAAGGTTGTATTAGTTAACGTTTGATTAAAACGCTTACTAACAAAAACAAACAATAAACAATTCATTTATAACAGTACATTGTTAAACATGTTAGTTAACGTTAATGAAGACAGTTGTTCA